GGGTTGTTAACCAGTGTCATAAAACAATATGTGTACTGACTGTTTAATGAGAAACTATTTGTTCTGTAAACCTTCACCTAAAGTACAATTTAAAATAACTAAAAAAAAAAAAAAAAGTGATTCATCGCACTACTGTCCACACCTTGGCTTTTCTAGCCATGGTTCTTTCATACTTGGAGGATAGCTTCCCCCTACCAATCACTTTACCAGTCCAAAACAGTGATTAACAATTAGTCCTTCAGTAGGGCAAACAGTCCTCAGGGTGAGGTTACTCAGGTACCAGCCATTCAGGTCTGCTGCAGATGTCCATCTGATCTGGTCAGGTTCTCCAAAAGTCATCTCCCCTTCACCCTTTCTGGTGTCTGACAAAATTTAACTGAGAGAAAACTATTCGCTTTCTTTGAGCCTCACGAGGTATCAGCATAGCAAAACCTTTAAAGGAGTTTAGGTTTAGCCACTGTAGTCAAGTCCAGCAGTGTCTCCCAGTTTGTCTCCACTTTCACTTATAGCTTCTATAATTACAGTTTTTACAATCACAATAAACCCTATTAACAATCAACACTCACAAATGGAAAAAAAAATTCTTTTGGGTTGGCAGAATTTTGATGTTCAAAGTTTTTTTTAAATGTATTTTCATATGCAAAAGACAAATATTTAGGGCTGATTTTATTTATGTCTCTTGTTTTATATTTTTTGTTTTATTTTATTATTTTTTATGGTTATATGGTTAGAGAACTTGCCTTGTCCCTATAGTTGGAACTTATTGGTGGTTCTTTTTATCAGTACTAAGTAGTTTTGTTCATTCTTTCAACAGATGTTTAATTAGTACCTACTGTGTGCAAGATACTGTAAAGCAATGCTGTAGATCTCATACCTCAGTTCTAAAGCTAATTGGTAGTTTACTGGCTCTCCCTTTCTCTCTCTCTCTGTCATTGTCACTTTCCAGTGAAAGAAACAAATCACCATGCAATTTTCATCATTATATCATAGATGTCTGCTTTCACTTGTCCAGCTAATGGAGTATAATAAACACGTGACTTTTTAAAAATTTGTATTTGACTTTAGAATACATGCCGTATGTTGACATTTTGCATCAAAAGTTGAAAAGAGGCTGTGGGGACTTTAAAAAGAAAGCTCTTCCTATCAATTCAAAATGTTTACCATTGAACTTGACTTCCCTTGTAGGAAGTGAGTTCACTGTCACTGGAGGGTGCTATTTAAGCAGAGTTTGACTGCCTTATTTTTTCAGGGATATTGTGAAAGGGATTTTTCTATTTTAGATAGTATTAAAGTGATTTTCTATTTACTAAGCATTCGTCAATTAAAAGTAGAGAGAGGTGACTCAAACCCATACTGGGTGGAGCACTGAAGACTCAGTCCTTTACCAGAATTTATTCCAGATAACCTAAAGTAAATAACCCCAACACGATAACTGAACACTGAATATATATGTTCTATACATTGTTGATTTGTATAATTTCTAGTTGTGAATTTATTTTGGCATTTTGTTCCTGCATTATTTTCCCAAATTCTTCCATTTTTTTGTCTGTATTTTCCATGAATTTGTCTATTTTTTCCTCATTTTTGTCTGCTTTTTACTTCTTGGATAATTCTGAGTATTAGAGATTTGAATTCCCTATCAGGTAGTTCTAGTGCCTTTTCTTCTACTGGAAAGTCATCTGGTGTTTTATTTTGGGTGCCTACTGGAACCACCTTGTCCTGTTTCAGTAAATGTTTTGATATTGTCTGCTGTCTTTGGGGCATTCAGTAGTTATTTTTCTCATTTATTGATTGTAGATTTGTTTGTTTTGTCCTTTTTTTTTAATTTGGCTATGTCTGAGCAGGCAGGCTGTGTGTTCTTTGTTGTTTGCTTGTCCGTGGGCACGATACTTTTCACTTCTTCTCCAATTAGCAGGGTCAATTGCTCAGATATGGTACAGCAGGGCAGGTCTAGCTGAAGAGGAGTTGCTGGGATGATTTGTTTGTTGCACTTACTACAGCTACCAGGGCAGATCGGTTATCAGTGCAGAGCAGGTTCTGGTGGGCCATGCCTTTGCTGCTTGGTGGTGTGATGTTAAGCGCACAGTGCAGGTATGCAAGATGGAGGGGGGAGATTGTGATGTGTGGAGCTAAGATGGGTATGGGAGAGAGGGGAGAGAAACAGGAGCCAAAAACATACAAACCAACAAAAAAGAGTGCTAGGGAGCTTGCCATTGGAGTGGAGAGATAAGGGACTATGAAATGGAGAAAAACAAAAAAGGTAAGAAGAAGAAAAAAAGAAAAGAAAAGAATGAATAAATAAAAATTAGAAAGAAAAAAGAAAAGAAAAGCTCCCAGGGATCCCACCAGTGCAGCTACGAGGTCTGGGGAAGTTGTTCCCAGGTTTTGAAGTACAGCCTGGCAAGAAGGCATAGAGCTGTCACTCAGCACCAGGTATTCAGGGGACAAGAAGATAAGGAAGGTATAAAGAGACAAGAAACTGAGTAATGAAAAAGACAAAAAGAGAAAAAGAGGGAAAAGAGAACAAAACAAACTTTAAAAAAAGAACTAGAAAAACCGCCAAAAAACAGAAAAAAAAACACCAAAAAAAAAATGCTCTCAGGGGTCTCTCTGAGCGTCTGCACAAGCTGAGGGTGTAGGTCCCAAGCCGCACAGCACTGCCCGGCCAGAATAGGCTCCCAACTTGAGAAAAGAAAAAGAAAACAAACAATTCAAAACCAACAAACAAAAAAGCCCCAGGATCCCAACAGCATGGCAGCATGGACCAGGAATCAGTTCCACACTCGAGTGGAGCTCCACAGCCCCTCAGGAAGAAGCAAAGATGGTGCACTGAGCCAGTTATTTGAGTGAAAGGAGGGGGAGGTGGTGAGAGGTAAGGAAGAAATCAAAAGAAGCAGAAAAAGCTACCCCAGCAGCCAACAAATGGCACTCAGGTAATCGGCCATTGTGAGCAGGTGGAATCAAAGCAGCTGGTGCTTCCCGGCAGAGGAGGCCAAGTGGGGGTGAAGGCGGGTGGGGGGTGGGAAAGCGTATATCGCTGTTTACCGGTTGTTCTGTCTCCAGCTGGAAGCTCCCTGAAGCTGCTTTCTCACAGCCCCTGTTCGCTGGTCTCCGATAGGAGTCCAAGATGGCGGATCGGCACTGCGTTAGCTGACGGGGGACCTCTGCAAGTATGTCTCCCCGCTCTCTGTTCTCTGTCAGTTTCTTATTCCATTTCGTGTTTGGCTGAGTTCTTTATCTCTTCATTTGATGTTTAGGGTTTCAGGATTGCTGTTTCCTCTGTTTGGCTTAGTTTTTCAGATCTTTGCTGTGGAGGGACACCGTGGTGCTTCTGCCTAGAACGCCATGTTGCCGGAAGTCCTCTATACATTGTTGAATGTACTGATAATGACCTGATATATATTTATCAAAACTTTTCTACTTGTGTTACAGAAAATAGAAATGATTGATGATGAAGAAAGTGACATGATAAGTAATTCTGAAGTGGAACAAGTGAATTCACTATTGGATTATAAGGTAAAAGTAATTTTAAATTCTGAATTCATTAAGAGAAGGCATTAAATGAGACAGACTTTTCCAGTACCTATGTTATTCCCCCACCCCTTTTTAAATTTTATTAAGCTTTAGGTGAAAAGTTTACAGTGCAAATTAGTTTCTCATTCAAAAATTCATGCACAGATTGTTTTGTGACATCGGTTGCAATTCCCGCAATATGTCGGTACTCTTCCCCTTTCCCTTTCCACCCCAGGTTCTCTGTGTTCATTTGTCTAGTTTTCCTGTCCCTTGCTGCCTTCTCTTCTTCGCTTTTGGGCAGGTGTTGCCCATTTGCTCTCCTATACTTGATTGAACTAAGAAACATGTTATTCATGTGTATTATTGTTTGTTTTATAAGCCTGTCTCATCTTTAGCTGAAAGGTGGACTTTGGGAGTGGCTTCAGTTCTGAGTTAGTAGGGTGTCCGGGGGCCATAGTCTTGTGGGTTCCTTCAGTCTCTGTCAGACCAGTAAGTCTGGTCTTTTTTTGTGAATTTGAATTTTGTTCTACATTTTTCTCCCACTCTATCTGGGACCCTCTATCGTGATCCTGTCAGAGCAATCAGTAGTGGTAGCTGGGCACCATCTAGTTCTAGGCTCAGGCTGGTGGAGGCTGTGGTTCATGTGGTCCATTAGTCCTTTGGACTTATATTTTCCTTGCATATTTTGTTTTCTTCTTTCTCCTTTGCTCTGGATGGGATGGGACCAACAGATGTATCTTAAATGGCCACTGGAAAGCTTTTAAAACCCCAGACACTCTTCACCAAAGTAGAATGTAGAACATTTTCTTTATGAACTATGTTATGCCAATTTGACCTAGATGTTCCCTGAGACCATGATCCCTAGCCTTCAGCCCCAGTAACTCAGTCCTTCAAAGTATTTGAATGTGTGTGGGAAGCTTCTATGACTTTGCCTTGGTAGAGTTGTGCTGACTTCCCCTATATTGTGTGTTGTCTTTCCCATCACTGAAGTTAACACGCGTCTTCTATCTAGTTAGCAACTTCCCCTCCTCACTCCTCCCTTCCCTCATGCCTCTGGATCCATTCTGTCAGGCGTCTTGGAAATGAGTTAGCATGCAGGGAATTTTAATTAATGCTGGCTGATTTAGTGTCTCTGGTGTTAAGAGTTTGCAGACAGAGAGTAGGCATTGATGGTGTTCAGCAAGGTGGGCAATGCATAGTAGTATTTAAAGCCAGTGTTCATTTAAATAGTAGTTAAACGGGACATTTTTTCTCCAGTTGTCCGTTATAATTTTATATTGAATTACAACTTGTTCTAAAACCAGATTATTATTTATATAATAATATATCTGTGCTAGGAGAAGCTTAAAAATCTCCAAAGCAAATGCAGAATTAATATGAATAGAGATGACCTTTTCTTAATGTCACTTGTTACTGGACTGAAAGGCTTACTTTGACAGTATGCCATACATAATTTTGTTTTTATTAAATTTTGACATAAGCTGTCAGTCTGTATGTCAATATGTTTTCTGCATAGATGTGTATATACAGTTCCTTTGTTAATCAGCATCGTATCTTATCAGGTAACTTTGGGGCCTTCTGAGATTTGGGCAAATGACCATTCTTTCCACACCCAAAAGTTATTTTCTGGGAATATCATCAGTGTTCAGAGACTAGCAATCTTAAAATATTAACATAAAATAATATTTAATTAGAAAAGACAACAGTCGTCATTTTCTCAAAAAATCTTTTCAGTTTTACCGTACATGAAAGTTATATCATTCAACAAATTCTGTTTTCCAAATATTCGTAACATGTCAAGCTTTAAAATATTGGACATTGGAAACACAGAAGGAAATTATCCTTTGAAATTTGTTCGCTAAATTGTCGAAGAGAACAATACAAATCTGTGTTTAAACTGTATTTCCAACTAACAGAATATAAAGTTGTGCTGACTTCCCCTATATTGTGTGTTGTCCAAAGATCGTACTCATCGCTCTTACATTGTCATACAATATTTCTAAAAGCCGAATTCAGGATTAAAATGTATTTGGCACAGACTATGGAAACTACAGATGAGAGCTGCGGATTGCACAGCTGTTAAGTGTGTTCCACTAAATACTCTGAAACAAGTCAGATGAGTTGATCCCAGAACTCAGAGGATTCTTTCCAGGACCTATTTCCTCTGGAGTGTCAGCCCACTTGAAAAGGTTTGCAGCTGAAGAACAGGGCAGGGCAGAGTGTCCAATCCAGCAATGTTAATTACCGTTTTTATTGAACTCTAAAGAATATTTAATGATCTAACATTTTACATTATGATAAATACTGTGGGAACAAGGGGTCCTTCACTACCCCATTAGGGATGTATTTTGTAACACATTATCATCTTAAGTAAACTTTTCTTTAACTCTCAAAAATCAGTACCTATATACAAAATATATCTTTTTATAATCATGATTTAAAATATTTCAAATCACCTCATTTATGAGCTTTGTTAATTTAGGTCTAAAGTAAAGCTGAATGAAACCTCATATAGCAGTTCTCATTGCTGATTTCAGGATGTTGATTTAAAACAGCCTTATCAGTCTAGAAATTTAATCCATTTTCAGGGAACTTTGCATTAATAGTGTTTCTTCAATGCTAGTGTTAGTGTTCCTTGTATTTGGATGAAAATCACTTTGTTGGTTTCTTAATTATGTTATTCATATGCTTTTTGAAGGCAGAAATTTATCTTATTCATCTTTGTATTATCTGGCTTAGAGCCTCACACGTAAGTGTTCAGGAACTAGTTACTGAGTGAGTGAATAAATAAATAATCTTTGGAAAGAATTTTAATACTACTATGTAAGTGTTCAGTTATATAAAATCAATTGAGATCAGGAGTTGGATCATTATAAATTATTCTTTCCCACACCGAATTAAACTATCTCTCGTTATTCTTGGGATTCAGTATAGTGAACTGAAAGAATACCTCTTAGGTATATTTGATAATTATTTCTTGGTGCAAACAGTTAATGCCCTCGGCTGCTAACAGAAAGATTCATGTCCACCCAGAGGTGCCTTGGAAGAAAGGCCTGGAGATCTACTTCCAAAAAAATTGATCATTGAAAACTCTATGGAGCACAGTTCTAGTTTGACATGCATAGGGTCGCCATGAGTCAGAACTGATTCCACAGCGACTAGTTTGGTTTGTCTTTTTTTTTTTTTTTTTTACTATCAATACTCAAATACTCAGTTTGGTCATCAGGGAGTTACTGATTCACATATATCTCTAGAAATCCATATTGTTAGGAAGTTCTAATAATGCAAAACACTTATGAGACAAGATGATGGGTTCAGTCCATGAGGCATGAGTCACTATATCATAAAATAACACCTAAGGCTTGGCAGCCATTAACAGTCTGCTCAGAGATCAAACCTCAAGTCCACTTGGAACCAGGAGGTCCCCCTACAATCTTATTACAGAAGTATTGACAAAGTTTACTGGGAATGTAGGGAGGATTTTAACAAGAAAAATGAGCTAGATCTTGTTTTGTGATGTTCAGTTACCAATGTTATCTTACTGGTTCCTCTCACAAGCATTCCATTTACTTAGGAAAATCTCTAAGGTGCACATAAACTACTGCCTTCGATCTAGGAAGTTTTTAATAGGCTTATAAAAGCAGAAAGAAGAAAATGTCTGCCATATTAAATTATCTTAAAGCTGTTTATGTTTTTCAAACATTCCATAAATACTGAGGAGGAGGAATATTTGCATGAAGAATTAGAGATCTGCATACCAAAAGATGTTTCATGACTTTTGCAAGTAGGAATTAATGTTTTTAAAATGTTTCTAGTGGATTGTGAGTGCAGCTCAGAAGGACTCTGCATTCAAACTAGACACTACTATAATGATGATAGATATCTCTTGTATTCAAAAAGGTTTCTTGGTCAGCACTTTACTAGTATTACTGTTCTGACAATGAATACTAATAAAGAACAAAAACTTAGAATTAGCAAAATTTAGTATGGCAGGAGCATGTTGAATTTTATTATAATGTTTGCTTGCAATTTAGATTGTTATAGAGTGCTTCTGGATAAGTAATTCAGCTTGCGCAAATGATTCGCTTGCTATTAAATGGTCTGAAAAGGAAGCAGTTTTAGTCAATAAAGTAAATTTTTAACTCAACTAATAAATGATGCAGTAAACATGTTCATGTATTGAATTTGATTAATACAACAGCACTTTCAATTGAGACAACAAAAATACCCATAGAATTAACTAATTTTAGTGTATTCTTATGCAGCTTTTTTGAACAAACACTATTAAAGGTCCTGCTATGCTCTTTGAGACCAGTTCTCCAGCTGCAGAGAATACTTAAAGCTCTTTTCTCTTTTTGGCAAGGAGCTGGCTAGTAATTTTTTTTTTAATCAGGTATATTTATAAATAATTTCCATACAATAACATTTACCTCTTTAAGTATACAATTAGATGCGTTTTGACAAGTGCCCACAGTTGTATAACCACCATCACAACTTGTTTATTCCCATTCACCTGGTTAGGGTTAGCAGCTGTAGCTGGTGCAGTGGTTAAGAGCTCAGCTGCTAACCAAAAGGTCGACAGTTCGAACCCAACAGCCGCTCCTTGGAAAGCTTATGGGGAAGTTCTCTGTCCTATAGGTTCACTATGAGTCGGAATCGCCTCGATGGCAACAGTTTGGTTTTGGGGGAGTTTTTTGACAGTTGCTTCACATCCTCACCAGCATTTGGTATTGCCAGTCTTTTTAACTTTAGCTATTGTAGTAGGTTAGTATTAATATGTCCCCAGATGGCACAAACAGTTAAGCACTCGAATACTAGCCAAAAGGTTGGCAGTTTGAACCCACCCAAGACAGGCCTGGTGATCTGCTTCAAAAGGTCACAGCCTTGAAAACCCTATGAAGAAGTTCTACTGTGCTTACATGGGGTCACCATGAGTTGGAATCGACTCTACTGCAGCTAACAACAACGGTGTTAGTATCTCATTGTGGTTTTAATTTATATTTCTCTAATGACTACTGATATTGAGCACGAAAATGTGCTTATTGACCATTCATTTACCTTCTTTGATGAAGTGTGTGTCCAAATATGTGCTTGTTTTTTAGCTGGCTACTTGTCTTATTATTGAGTTGTAAGAGTTCTTTTTGTATTCTGTATACAAGCCCTTTATCAGACATGTGCTTTGTAAATATTTTCTCCTAATATGTCAGCTGTTTTTTTATTCTCTTGACAGTGCTTTTTGAAGATAAAAAGTTTTGTGTTTTTTCTTTCTTTGCTTTTTTTTTTTTAATTTGGAAGAAGTCTTTCTTCTTTGAAGGCTCATGCTTTTTGTGTCCTACTTAAGAAATCTTTGCCTAACTCAAGGTCACAAAGATTTTCTCCTATATTTTCCTATAGAAGTTTTCTAGTTTTATGTTTTACATTTAGGTCCATGATCCATTTCTTGTTAAATTTTCTGTATGGAGTGAGGTAAGGGTCAATATTTTTTCTTTCTTCTTTTTTTTTTTTTTCCACATGGATTTATAATTGTTCCTCCACTGTTTGTTGAAAAATTATCCTTTGTCCATTGAATTACCTCAGCTCCTTTGTCAAAATTCAATTGATCATATTTGTGTGGCTCTATTTCTGGGCTCTTTATTCTATTCCATCGATCTATATGTCTACCCTTACGCCAACACTACACTGTCTGATTACTGTAGATTTATAGTGAGTCTATTCAGAGCACATTAACATCTATTATCTCATTTGAGCCTTCTAACCCTCAAACAAATCCTGCCAAGGATTACTAGTATTATCTCCATTTGACTGATGAGCAAACAGAGGCACAGAAAAGTTAATTGGCCTGCCCAAATTTACAGTTAGTTATCAGAAGACCTGGCATTAGAACACTTCTAAATCCTAGTCCAGTTATCTTTTCCTATTCAACTAACAAAAATAGTGAAGAGACTGGGTCTCAAATTAGTGGTACATTTGGAGATACTTTCTGAAAGCAGACTCCTACATAATGGGAGGGAGGGACACAAACTGTTTAAGACAGTCTTAGTAATAATTTCAGTATAAAATAATAGCAATTTTAGTTCTCAGTATTTGATTTTATGAATGGTACATTCAGCATTACTAAATCTACCATTGCTCTTTATTTGGGGCTAACTGGGCTCTGTCTATTCTTAATCCTAATCCATGGGCTAATTAGATTTGATATAGGAGGGGGCTTTCTAAGAAAGGAGCTGTTTCTTGGTTTTTCTCTTACTGAAATTTATTTGATTGGCTATTTGACCTTGCAAACTGTTTTCTATTGGTGATTTGCTTAAAAGGCAGACTTTGAGTAGCAAGATAATTTCCTTTTATGCTTTTTATTATTTTAAACCAAAGATTTATTTTCTTTATTGTCCCTCTAATTTGATTGCTCTTTAGAATTTTTTGTGCATCAGACATATACAGTCCTAGGTTTACGTAGGGTAATTATATTGTTTGATGTTTTCTCCTTCAGAATGAAGAAGTCAGATTCATTGAAAATGAGCTAGAAATTCAAAAGCAAAAATACTTTAAACTTCAGACTTTTGTTAGAAGCTTGATACTAGCTATGAAAGCTGACGATAAGGAACAACAGCAGGTAGGTCCCAAAAGAGACTAGTAAGCTGCAATGTTATCATGTTGTAAAGTGGCATGTCACACTTTAGTTCTTCATTTTTTTTTTCATTTTTATACTTCACTGTAAACTTCATTGCTACTTGGCCTAGAGGAGGTATTTTGTGACCTTCTTAGTACAGTTTTCTTGAGAGTAGATACTCAGATTTTGTGTGCGGCTTTGGTAGGAAATCAGAATAAATAATATGCTTTGTTAATTCCAGGTTAACCTTTAGGGAAAAAATAATTTCAAAATTAATTTTAAAGAAAGTCCTCAAAATGTTTCTAGAGACAGGGCTAGCCTAACTGGGAAGGCACATATTTGGGGACCTTTTGTGCATGAAAGAATGAGGCAGTTGCCTCTTTTCTGGGTCTCATTTACCTTCCAGCCCCAACTAGAGTTCACAAGTATATGGATACCTTCTATTCCATGATATGTTGCTCCTCCCTAAGAAAATAAGAAATTATTTTTGCGAAATTATTTGTGACCACAGTGAGTATCATTTATTTTTCTCAATTTAAGTGAGGTGATTGATTCTTCTACTCCAAAGATGAAATGTAATGTCTTCTGTTTGTCTCTGTGGGTTTTTTAAACTAATTCTTTCCAAATTAACTTTTCTTTTTCATATTTTCATGTGAATCTGCATAATAATTTATTAAGCTCACTAAAAAGAACGTATTAAATGTTTCATTTAATATTAAGTGATACAAAATTTGCCTCTGAGTTGAGTACCACCATGCTGATTCTTTGTCAGAGAAGTTCCATATGACTAGTATGAGACACAAGTAACCATTATTTTGGAAGCAGCCACAGAGGATTTTATTCAGCAAGAAATCTCAGAAGTATAAAAATTCATCCTTTATATCCAAGCAAGACTTCACGTAACCCATCTCAGACATCTCCAAGAGAAAAGATTAGAGTCTGAACATCCCACAATTCTCATTTTTTAGATGAAAAAAAGTCTTTTATATATTTTACTGAAGTGTTAAAACCACAAATTTAAACTAAAATAATATACTTATGAGACTCAAACCAACATGTACATTAAGTGTCCAGTTTCATGACTATTTCTACCTCCTCCACACAGACACCCCAAGACTGTAGCCCTCAGTTACCCTTGCCAACTTTATTTAAGCACATTGCTTTATTATCTGAATTATGCATATTCCATGATATATTGAAAATGTGTTTTTTTTTTAGAAATTTAAAGTATATATTTTAAATGAATAACAGTGGTAGTCTTGAACATGGTCCCAAAGGTACTGTAAATTTTAAATAACTATGAAAAAACGAAATTAGATCCAATCATGGAATAACTTGGAGTGTGGTCAAGTACTCAAAACTAATAATATGGTTTTGAATTCAGAGTTACAGAACCAGCTAAATAGCCGTTACTTATGGCTCTTGACATCTAGGAGTAGCACACAGACTCCATTTTATTCTCTGATTCTAACCTCATCCCTAGCTTGGTTTTTTTCCCAAGACCACTAACAAATAAGAAAAAGAACTAATGTGATTTTACTTTTCTCCTTCTTTTCTAATTTACCTCTGATAAAAGGCTAATGAGCTAAGATACGCACAAAAATTTGGCTGAAAGAGAAAGTAAGACAAAATGGTACTAAATGTCATAGCTTATATTATAAACACCCAAATAGAAACCCTGATTTTCATAGTTGAGATCGATCATAATGGATTTCAAAATACAGTCAGTCACCAATAATAGTCTACAAAAGTTATCCATGTGATCTCTTAAACTATGGATCTTTACACTATGAGACACTTAGAAGTTTATTTACGGAAGGAATTAATTCTTACTCTACCTAATAAAAGGGAACCATCACATCATCAGTTTCTCATTAAAAAAAAAAAAACACATTATTTTTCCATTAATCTTGATTTATGGAAGTTAAGTGGGGTGAATGATCTACAGAATATAACTGACTGAAATATTAGATTACCCAAAGTTTTTTTTTTTTAATCAATAGCCATTTTAAAATCAAAATAATGTTGCCAGCCCTGTAGTAAGTCATTGATTATGTTCTTTCTTCCCCTGGCAATTCTCTGTGTGATCCTAGCCAGGTAAATTGTCATTCTTGAACTTCAGTTTCTGTACTTTGCAAGGATAGTAAGAATGAGTAATATTACAAAACTTGGTATTCACACCCTAAGAATGATATATTTGGGAAATACTTTAATCTCTTGGAAAAAGTTGCACTAGATCAGATTCTGAAGATAGTTATCAATGATGAAGAACAGTAGTTTAAAAAAAACGAATTATGCTTACTTTATTATCTGTGAAAAAAGGCAGTTCAGAAGTTAGCATATTCGAAAGATTTTCTCAGTGGGCCAATATTGCAATCCAGTAAGATAAGGAAAAGAAACATTTTGAAGCAGATTTCATACACTAATAATGTACCTATATTGTCTCAGATATTAATGTTTTTATATTTCATTATACACTTATTTTAATCAGTCAACTACATGCAATGTACATGTAATGCATGAAAAAAACAAATAATAGTGCTTCCCTGATTTGAAGGTCTCCCTACTAGAATTTAGAATACCGTTAATTCTCGTCATCCACTTGACTTTCCAAGACTCTAGGCAAATGTTGTAGTGAGTGTTAATTGGAACACTTTCCTGGAGATCTGCTTCCAAAAGATCACAGCCTTGAAAACCTTATAGAACGCAATTCTATTCTACAACACATGGGGTTACCATGAGTGAGAATGGACTCAACAGCCACTGGTTCAGGTTTTTTTTTTTTTTTTGTCAGTGTTCTATTCACAATTGTAATATGAACTAAATCCAGTGATGTATTTTACATAAATTATGATCAGCCAATTTCAGCAAAGACTTTGTTGCATCTAGTCTGGGTTAGGGGTAAACCACTATTTGAAAAGAAAATGGCGCTGTGTCCTATTACTGCAAACCAGCACCTTAGAAAACATGTAGTACCTTGCTGTGTAAATGCTCTCAATTTCAGCAAGAAGTTTAGATTTGTTTAACTGTATAAAATAAATAACAGTTTTTCTTCTAGATACGAGTTTGTTTACATTTACACAGCCCAACAAAAAGGAGGAAGTTTTTAACCTTGTCTCTGTGATACAGGCAAAAAGTATAGGATTTGTAGTTGTCACTTCTTTTATTAAAGACAATAAGAGAATGCTGTCTTATTTCAGTAGTGGATTTCGTATCTTCTCCAACACGCCTGGTCTTTCTGTTCCTTAATTGGGTTGTGGTGAACTTTCATTTCTTCTTGTTCCCTAGGTCCTTGTCTACCACAGTTTCCAAAGTCCACACTACAAGTAATGCTGTCTAAAAATTGCTAAGATATGCTACATTATTTTTAGCATTGGGAGCAGCTAATCATTTAGTTCATATTGTATTATGGTTAAGTAGGCACCAGCACTGTCAAGCACCTAAAACTTGATTAATCATTTATTTCTATAGTATGGATGCTTGTTCAATAACTCCAGATGACACAATTAGACCACAGCAAAACTTAGTTCACAGTTCTTGGTTTATCCTAATTACTCCAGCAGAGGAATAAACAGTTCTCTAGATCCATCATTACAGCAGCTAGAGTCACTGGTTCAGCTGTGCCTTGGTAGGTGTTTGGCCTTCTGTAGATATGGACATGGCCTAAAGAAAGAAAGAAAAAATCACTTGGTCTTTTCAAGTTGTTAAATTTTACTCTAAAGTAGAATAGCTGCTAAATTCATTCTCTCACAGAAAGACAAAACAGTATTTTGTGATATGAAATGTATTTTTCTATAAAGGAGAGCATAACTGGGCAGGAATAGTTTAATAAGGAGAATAGTTTTAAAGCCTTTAGCAGTGATCAGTGAGCACTCAAAACTAGTATGAAAATCACTTACCTCAAACACTTGCTTCAGAATAGTTGCTCATTTTCCCTCCCTATTTCTCCTTTGTCCAGAGTTCCACTCTACATAATCCACACCCTCTTTAATACATATGATGAATTTTTCTTTTAGATAATATATTGTATACGATCCTGAAAGAGAAACAGTTCTTTCTCAAATCCTTAAGAATAAATCAGAATGAGAGGATTTCAACTTATAACATAAAAATTGGGAAAAAAAATCTATCCGCATACTAATCCAAAAAAATTGATTTTTCTGACTCAGGCACTGCTGTCAGATTTACCTCCTGAATTAGAAGAGATGGATTTCAATCATGCTTCGCCGGAGCCTGATGATACCTCATTCAGTGTGTCTTCTTTATCAGAAAAAAATGCCTCAGACAGTTTGTGATTTGAGGGGGGGATATATGATGCAGCCTTTTGGCTGCCTAACAGGTGTGCATTTCAAGATAACTGCATTCTATTGCCCGATATTCTTCAGTTGGAAAAACATATTGTATGAAACAGAATATTCTGTGAAGGATGGACAAGATGTAATGGCTACAATGTATAGTGCAAAAAATGTATGTGAAATTTAAAAACATTGAGAGTTTTTTTTTTCCAAACCGATGGAACTCTGGAGAAATTTTTATTTAATTTTGAGCAGTTCAGCTATTAAATGTATAATATCTAATTTCTAAAATATTTTTGTTTAGTTTTATAGAAGAGTCTTAGTTTTAGTAATAGTTTTGACCAGAGACACACAAATATATTTCAATGTACTTACCAAGTTGCTAAAACTTGGTTAGCCTTGTTTTTGTAGCCATTATATCTTCTTTCTTCCTCTCTCCTTTCCCTGTCATCCACATAAACATTTACTCAGGAAAATAAAATGAAAATTGAAAACAAAACTAAAAAAATTATTTAACCTGGGCAAGTTCTGGGATTTATTTTTCAATTCCTATGAGAGTTTGACTTAGGCTAATAACTGAAAATTGAAATGACTACTAGTATGTAATTGTGAATTGTTAGTATTCTTCCATTATCTAACCCAAATATGGGGGGGGGCACTGTGGAAAATTAATTCACCAATATAAAGTCAAATAAATTATTAAGTGTACAGAACAAAAACGTAAGTGTTGTAAAAGATTAGTCTAATGGGAATTCTTCATTGCTGCAAATGACAAATATTGATAAGATTCACATTCTATTAGTAAATTTGTGTAACTGAGTTGTATGTAATTTTGCACAAATATTATGTTTATCACCATCTTCATAATATTTTTCCAGTTCTTACATTTTATGAATCAGGAAGTCAAGGTAAGCCACTGAGATTTTTTATTATCTAGTCACTCAGCTGTGCCACAAAATTTACCTCATTTCATGTGTGGCCTGTACAGAGCCATCAGCCAAGGATGATATCCAAAAAGATTTACACTGTTTTCGTTGTAAATCGGAGTCCTCTGAATTTCCTGAATACTATTTTATGACTACACACCTAAAGTGGGCATGTTACCCAGTTGTTCTATTAGTAGGTATCAGATGGCAACGCACTGTAGACAATTCTTTCCAGATCTTCCTTTGCGGGGTACCAGATGGCATTACCAAGACCCATAGAAGAGAAAATGCCAGTTTCTCTCTGAGCTCACAGTATCATATTGGCAGTGTGGAATTGAGTTGTGTGGTTAAATAATTACCTATAGCTAAAAGATTAATGAAGTAGGTAGATAGCTGTTTTGGTCATTTTTAAATCAAGTTTCTTTTTAAGATATTTTTGTGATTTGTGATTAAAACAATTTTGATCTTGGAATTCACAGATACAAACTTCTGAATGCAGAAAGTTAGTCATGAACTTTTTGTTTGTTTGTTTGTTTTTTTAATGTTAAATACTTTTTAACCCTGAAACGCCCCCTACCTCAAAATCAATAGGCAGGGTGCATTGATGGTCCTCCATTTTGTCAACTACTTGTTTGATTTAACATTGCTGCCATGTTACTGCTATGGTTCCTTTATTAGCAGAAATATTTCAGTGGTTAGGTACGCTACCTTTTAGCTGAGAGCCATTTGGTTATTTGCAAACAATGTTTAGTATTCATTGCTGACAGGTCAAATTCCAGTGAGAGAAAAGAGCACTAGGTAACAGAACCACAGATATTAGGATTAAATTTATCACTTCACACCAATTTCTCCATGAAATAAAGAGTGCCCATGATATACAGAAAATATAGAAACCATTTCTTAAGGTAGCAGGAACAGATTTCAGGTCTTCAAGTCTCTCCTGCTGTTTCTAGTTATTGAGTTTATCTTTTAATTCTAATTTCTTTTAGTTCAATTTAAGCCCTCTCTGATTTGGTTATTATTGTAAATTAGGAGCAGTGGTTGTGTAGTGGTTAAGAGCTTGGCTGCTAACCAAAAGGTCAGCAGTTTAAATCTACCAGCCCTCCTTGGAAACCCTATGGGGCAGTTCCACTCTGTCCTATAGGGTCGCTATGAGTTGGAACCAATTCGAAGGCACCTAACAACAACAACATTGTAAATTAAGGATAGGCGATTCTCTCCTACAACATCTTATCACATTTCAGCAATTAGTCAATACATCAACAAATACTCATTGAGCTCCTGCTATAGAGGAGGCACTGTGCTGGGCATTGGATTTCAATTACTCAGCAAGCCTTATACTTCAAAGAATTATTTCTTGTTAACTTTTCAGGGATATTAATAAAAGTTGTTTAAGTAGAAATATTAATATATTTAAGGATTCTGCTAGGTATGATTTCTAGAAGGAATTTTAACCTACAATTTTGAGAGGAGGCATAGATGATTGATTACCTTGCCCCAGTTTAAAGTTCCATTAAAATAGAAACTATATAAATTCATAGCATTACACTCAGGCCTCCTTGGTATTTGTGTTCCAGCACCAGAATTATTTTCTCTACCAGCACTGGAATTAAAACACTTCTAAAATGAAATGTGGCCATTCTGTCCAACCAAATCTGTTGCCGTGGAGTGGATTTCGACTCATAGCGACCCCATAGGACAGAATAGAACTGCCCCACAGGGTTTTCAAGGAGCGGCTGGGGAATTTGAACTGGGGACCTTTTGGTTAGCAGCGGAGCTCTTAACCACAGCACCAACCGGGCTCCGGCTGTTCTAGCAGGGGCCAAAGGAAACAACAATATTTCAATATTGGCAGATTGAAATTATGCGCGTGGGTTTTGAAAAAGATGCCAAGGTCAGGTATTCAAAAACTATTAAATAGAAAGGATATGTTTTCATATGTATAGATCAGAGTTGGTTTTGAGACATTTTAGAGCAGGAAAAATATCAGTTTATGAATGCTCTTATAAGCATCTTCATGGTGGGGCGGGACGGGGGGGAATAACTACTAGTGTTTCTTTCTTAGGGCTTTGACACAATATGGACCCCTGGTGGCGAAGTGGTTAAGAGTTCGGCTGCTAACCAAAAGGGTGACAGTTGGAATCCACCAACCGCTCCTTGAAAACCCTATAGAACAGTTCTACTCTGTCCTATAGGGTTGCTATGGGTAGGAATCAGACTCCATGGCAGCGGGTTGACACAATATGAAAACAGACCATACTATCTGAAGCATAGCTCAGAAAGACAGAAACCAACGTGAAAAAAGGAAAAAAAAAAAACTTGTTTTCTCCCTTTTAACCACACTTTGGTGATGCCTTTAGCTTAGGCTACCTAACCAATTTCTAAGCAGGAAATGTATGTTTAAGAGGGCTAAACTTCCAACATGTGTATTAAAAAAAAAAAAAAAAACTGAAGGCACCTTCCTCATTTCAGCCAAGCTAAAATTAGTCAAGAGAAAATGAGAACTGCAGTTGCCCTGGAGAATAGGAAAATTAACACATGCAAAGAAAACATTGAACGAAAATTGGCCTCTTTTAGGAAGCTGGAGATGTTTTGTTGTAAGATCAGTTATCAACAGCAGGACTTTTGTACTTGTTTGTTACTGTTGAAGATGAAAAGGCTGTGGCCCAGTCACACCCTGTTCCCAGAGCTCTGTATACTACTAAAAAAGGTGTGCAAGAGGCCCTTTCTCCAAAGAAAGCATCATCTATTTTAAGGCACTTTCAGCAGTCTATAAGTATGTTAAACAACACATGAGTGGTGGATTTAAAACTGTCAAGCGGTTTGTGCTTGACTACTAGCTGAAAGGTTGGTGGTTCGAACCCACCCAGAGGCACCTCGGAAGACAGACCTGGCAATCAGCTTCTGAAAGGCCACAGCCTTTAAAACCCTATGAAGCATTTCTACTCTGCACACTACAGTTCCCAAATGGACTTAACAGCAGTGAACAACAATAAGCTCTAAAATTGACTTTGTTGCATTTTTTCTCTCTTTTTTTGGGGGGAGGGGGTGCATTCAGCCCATTTTCAAGGGATAGCTTCCTCCTTTTAGCCTAATAGCTTATGATCATTTTTAAGAGAAGTTCTAAAAACTCCTGTCCTTCTTCCACATTGCAATGATGGACACCAGGAATATTGTCTATTTTTTAATATATTAGATTTTCATTCAGATCCTAAAAATGGAAAAATTTTGATAGATTAGTGTTATCAGTAACATCTTATCTAAATGATGAGTCAATGGGTAGATGTACGTTTGAAGATGGTGTTATCCTTGGCAGACAGCTCTGTATCATGCTCTTCACCAAGCTATGGTCTGTAATGCTATAATGGAGGAGCCTACTAACTTGTGAGTCTACAGTCAACATACCATTGCTGAAAGCAAACCTTTCTAAAGAGCATATTTGCTAAGGGGGAAGGAGAATAAAGTGATATTTTCATGGAAATATAATTATGATTGTTCCATTAAAGTGTATACTGAATACATATTGCTTCACATTGAAATTTTATTTTGCATTAACTTGTTAAGTAATTCCTTTTAGCATTCCTGCATCCCATTTTACTGGTACTACCTCTGAAACATACTATCACCTTAAAACTACATCAGACTGTAATGTGAACTTTTGTAGGTTTTTATTTAAACTTTTATAGAGGCAATAAATGATTTCCAACTAATAGATATCTATTTATTTCTTTTAATATTTATTTTCTAAATCTTTGTGTTGTAAGCATTGCTTCCCTTTTAAAGTGACTTTTTGTCTTTTTATCAAACTAAGATTCTGATAAAAAAAATGCAGAGAATCATAAGATGTTGGGGATCTGGAAGGGAGAACACAGAGTATTCAAGTGGCAATTTGGTTGATTTCCAAGCTGACATGTGTATCAACTTTATTTTGACTTTACCTAACAGAGAACTACTCCAACACCAAATGAATAAAATTAATAATACCTAATAAAGAACATATTTGTTCCTAATAGTATATTTAAATGTTAAAAGCAGCAAGTAAATTGCCACAATATAAACAAAGAATGATAGTTTTGCAACAGACTGTTTTTTAAGTGGAAACCCTGGTGGCGTAGT